CTTCTCGGCCTGTCGCTTCTCTCCTAGGAAGCGCTCAGCTGTTAGAAGTGACAGCTGAAAACTTCTGTCGGGAGTAGCGCTGCCGCTGCAGTTACAGCCACCAGGAGTTTTATTTCGGGAGCAAGGGGGCTCTGCTGCATCTTCCAGGGTTTGTTTGTTTGCTTTTTTTTTTTTTTAAACCCCCTTCCGTGTGACTTTTTAATAAAAAGCATTTGTAACGACACACGGCGTTTGTAATTCACTTTTTTCTCCTAGATGAAGATGTCTGTCTTTTTGCGAACAATTTGTGTAATTCGGGGGTGGAAAAGACCCACTGTTGACAGCTGTGATTTGGCTTGCCAAAAATAAATCGCTTGAATTGAGACTTGTGAATGGTGGTGTGAGGGCTTTCCTTGCTGTAATTTAGGATGCTAAATATAGAATTTTTTTTGCCTAATGCATAGCTTGGTTTTAATTTTACTGTCTCAAAAGTTTGTTATTATTACTTATGAAATAGCATTCCTTTGTTTCAAGCCGAATTGATTGAAAAGTCAAAAATTGCTCCTCAAGTTCAAAAAACGATGTTGTCAAACTATATTGCTGATCCATATTGCTAATGTTCACCAGTGATGACCCATGGTAATTCAGGATTTAAGTTTCATTGTCTAATGAGTACGTGGGTTAATGACTGTCCTGTGTATCCTCTAACTACAAAAGGGATTTCCCTTCTTGGCTCACCCACAATTTGCCCCTCTGGCAATAAGTTGCATCCTGTTAAAACATAAAACAGTGATTTCAGCACTATACACTTGACCCTTGAACAACACGGGTTTAGACTGCATGGCTCTACTTACACATTTTTTTAAAATGTCATGTAATACTAATCATTTCTGTATGAGCAATTTGTCTCTCCAATTGTTCTAGGTGTTTTTCAGCATATTTATGGCAATACTGTCAACCTCAATTGACACCTTAGTACCTGTATGAAGTGCCAAAGTCAAGCCAGAAGTGCTCCCAAGAAGCAGAGAAAGCCATGAGATTACATGAAAAAGCTGCCTTCCTTCCATGTCCCTTAGACTGCAGCTGTGACTGGCAGTCGTTTTGAGCTAAATGAATCTGTAACGTGAGGACCATTATAAAGTGAGAAAAGGAAATTCATGAAGCTCTCCCTGCAGCTACATACCAGCAGACACAAAACCCTTTTTGTCTTGTATCGGAAATGCAGCTCTTATGTGAGCCCCATATAGAAAAATTATGTTCAGGGATTTTAAAAAGTTGTGGTAAATATCCATTGTTTTTTAATTCCATTTTTCCATGAGAGCTTTTTGAAGTCCCCTCATGTAACATGTGAAATACGTGTTAATCGGACTGCTTTTGCTGTCATCAGGGTTTCCATCAACAGTAGGCCAGTACTAGTTACCTTTTTGAGGAGTCAGAAGTTAAATGCAGATTTTCACCTGTGCCAGGTCCGTTCCTCTAACCTCCAGTTGTTCAAGGGTTGACTGTATAAAGACCTTAAAGAAACTGAAGTGTGCCAAAATAATAACCAAATGAGTCAAAAATTAAAATTTTGGAATGTGAACAATGAGGTATGTGCTTTTTAACCTGATATGTCTGCGTACGGAATGGCAGTTATCAAATCAACACTGGTGCACTGAATAACTATTTGAAACAAGTAAGGGATTACTTTTGTAAAACTGGTAATTTATAACTTTTCATTTTTCTTGCCTCAACTTTAATTATATGCCTCATAATCTCATCAGTTGTAGTGGCTCACCATGGCATTGATTTAGGACCAGGAGGAGAAAACTAGATAAGAAGGGTACCGCATATCTTCATCAGTTAAAATGATAGACTACCTGGAGTACAGGCATGGCCTCCTTTGAAAGACTCTTGTTCCGAACTGGGACCTCCTTGGGAGGTGGCTCAGCATAGTAGATAAGCCCTATATTGGCCTTCTCCTGCGTTTTGTTTTTTGCTGGTTACAAGGATTTTGAAAGGATGTGGAAGAGGTGGCTCCAGAAATCGATGGGAGATAGGAAAGTGAAAAGAAGGTGTGGCAACTAACCTGGGAAGAGGAACTTTGGGGCTAGAACCAACCAAAACAGTTGCTGTCACGTCCATTCTTACAGCTGGGAAGATGATGGTGAGGGTCAGTGTAGAACTGTGCTCCAAAGGGTTTTCAATAGCTAAGTTTTTGAAATCAGATCTTTCAGAAATCTCCAAGTGGTCTGGAAATTCCACCTTTTGGTTAGCAGGCTAGCTTTTTTTTTTTTTTTTTTTTTAGCTTTATAACCGTTTGCTCCACCCAGGAGTCTTAAGGAGGGCCCTCAGCAAATACATGCTTTGGGAGTTGAAGTTGTTGCTTTGGGGTGTGTACCTTAAATAGATTAGGTTGGGGTGGGATGAGGGTGCAAGTCATGATTTGCTGACATCTTGCTAACTTTGTTAAAAAAATTTTTTTTAATATGAGAAAAAATAAAAATTTAGCTTCTTGGAAAATCTATTTCCTGGCCACCTGTGGCTTCTATAACTGTTGATTTATTGCACAACTTTTAAAATAGCATGCATAAGAATAGCCTGTAGCTCCATGGGTTTTGCAAGTGTTGCTAATAACAAGGTGAGTAGTTCAAACCCACCAGAAAGATGAAGGAGAAAGATGAGGCTGCCTGCTCTTATAAAAATTTAGGATCGGAAACCCCAAGGAGTAGTTCTGTTCCATTTTGTAGGGCCATTTTGAGTCAGAATGAACTTGTTGGAAATGGGGTTTCTCTTTTGCTATCAAAGTAACCTAACCATTTGGTGTCATAGTAAGAAAAATGAGGCATAGGCCAAAGAGCTGGTTGCCCAAGATTGCATATCTAATGGCAGTGTCTTCTGCCTCT